CCGCCAGGCGCGGCGGGGCGGGGCGGGCGCCGCGCGGCGTCGGGTCCAGCACAAAGCCCTGGAGCACGGGGCGCGATGCGTCCGGGCCCGTCGGCGCCATGCCCGCCGTGGGCGCCATGCCCGCCGCCAGGCCCCCGCCCGCCGCCAGGCCCCCGCCCGCCGCCGCCGACCCTCCGTCGGCTCCGACGCCGGCCCCCGCCCCGCGCAGGGGGGAGGGCAGCCCCGCCATCACCCGCCCGTAGTCGTAGGTGGGCTTGGGCGCCAGCGGCCCGCGGCTGCTCTCCAGCTGCCGCCACAGCTCCGCCGCCGCAGCGCGCTCCGGGTCCGGGGGCGAGGCGCCCAGGCTCGCGCCCAGCGCGGGCGGCACCGCCGCCGGGGTCTGCGGCACGCCCGCCGTGGGGTAATGCGCGCCCAGGCCGCCGCCCCAGGCCAGGGCCTCAAAGGGGCCCGGCCGCGTGCGCGGCGCGCCGCTGCCGCCCGGTTCCGTACCGCCGCGGCCGAGCTCGCCGCCGTAGCTGTAGCCGCTGCCGCCGCCGCCGCCGTACGCGGCCCCCTCGCCGCCGTACGCGACGCCCTCGCCGCCGTACGCGACCCCCTCGCCGCCGCTGCTGGCGTGAGAGTGCCCGCCGGAATGCGCGGCGTGCGCCGCGCCGCCGAGCTTGGCGCGGCCCGCCTCCGCCGCGCCGCCCTGCCAGGCCTCCGGAGCGTCCACGGCCAGGCCCAGGGGACGGGGCGCGGGGCGCAGGATCTCGCCCGTCCCCGCGGGGGACCAGCCCTCCCAGGAGCCGTCCACCTCCAGCTCGAGGCGGAGGTGGGCCGCGCCGGTGGGCACGTCATTGTTGGCCAGCACGCGGATGGGCGGCGAGGCGGCGTTGGCCAGCACTTGGCAGCCGTCGGAGTCGTAGAGCGCACAGACCAGGCGGAAGGTCTTGGCGCCCACGTGCGTCCCCGCCTCGTCAAAGGACAGGTACAGGAAGCGCGGGTCCTTCAGGTTGCCTGCGCCGTGGGCGGGGCGCGCGGCGGGCGCGCGCGAGGGGGAGCCCTCCTGCGGGCCCCATGCCCGCTTGCCCAGCTTGCCAAAGCGCTGGATCACGCGGATGACCGGGCCGGTGCAGCCCTTGCAGCAGGCGGAGCGCTGGACGAGGTACCTGGGTGGAGGGGTGGGGGAAGGGGGTGAAGGGAAGGGGGAAAGGTGTGTGTTCCGGCATAGAGGCCGCAGGGGAGGGTCCTGGCATCGCCAGGCCGCGATCCCACAACCCCATGCATGCCCAGGCAGGACTGGGGGCAGGCTGCAAGAGCTGGGGCCGGGGGCCGCCCACCTTCCACGACAGTGCACCCTGATGCGCTTGAGAACGACGACATGCGCACTCTCCCTTCCCATCCCTTCGATGTCCCATCCTGTAGCATGCCCGCTCACCACTGGTGCCACTGGTCGGGCGAGAGCGTGTGCGGCGGGCCGAGGAGCGGGGTGCCCCCCTCCCCGGCGTCGTAGCACAGGAAGCCGTGGAGCACAACCCTGCTCTGGTTGCTCAGCTCCAGGAGGTAGTTCACCGCCGACTCGCGGTACTCCTCGTTAAAGTTGTCGGTGCCCTGATTGGTGGCGTTGGTCACGGTCAGGACACGGGAGCCCCCAGCTTCACGGACGATCACCTCCACCTGTGGAGGGCAGGTCTGGGATGCTCTAACAAGGGGATGCACTGGTGTAGAGAGCTGTAAGGAACCCGGAGGGTGGGGTGCAGAGTCCCGAAGGTTGCGAGTGCCGCAGGATACGCCCCAATCATGCAAGCAGTCCATGCCCTATTCACACGATCCTGGCATTCAGCTGGGAGCATCTTTCCCCTACCGCCGCAGTCAAAAAGGCATCCCCGGCAGTGAAACAACCCCATCAAGAAAGCAATACTCGCCCGCCAGCGCCTGTCCCTACCTGGTTGTAAGACCATCGCCGTTTGCCCAGCTTGTAAGCGCGGACCTCGGCCTCCCCAGTGCCACTGTCCAAGTAGGACGGTGGTATCATTGTGGAGATGGGACACAGGAGCGGCATCCCGCCGAGGGGCGCGCTGGCTTGCCTGCAGGTGAAAGTGTTGGGTGATGTCAGCCATCTCAGACGGACACCTATCAGCGGAAGACCCGGCCCTAACAACACGAATCGCGGCACGGCCCCATGCCGGGGCAATAAGTATGCAGTCGGTCATCAGCCATGGCCTTCAATTACCTTTTCAACGCTATAGGAAGCGAATTTGGCTCTTGGCGACTCTTGATGTGCCCGTCGCCAGCACCCGCACGGTATCTGGTTTCTGCTGCAGATGTCCCGGTGCGGCTCCCTGCAGGGACTCAGCACCAGGCTAGTGGCCACAAGACGGTCCTCGCCGTAAGAAGGACGCCTGCTTGCCGGATCGGGGATAAAGGGGGTGGATAACAGGCCCGACCCAGGATGGGTGCATCCCACTGGCAGAAAACTTGGAGGGCACGACAATCAAGGCCACCAAGCCACAGCCACAAACCCCGCGCATGGCACCAAAAAATGTCAATTGGACTATCATGTGCAGATTGTGCTGCCGGAGTGCCTTCGTACGCCCCGATCTACCAGAAACGGAAGGCGCACCGGGCACACCACGCCCTCACCGGAAGTGCGCTGGTGAGCGTCTGGATTCTCTGGCCCGGCAATGACTACTGAAGAACCTTTCTTTGGAATTATTGTGATGATTTCCGGTTCGCCATGTCGGATGCGTCTCCCAGACTCCGAAGGGATCTTCTCTCCATCGCAAGATCCTGCAGCACTTCGGATTCTCGCAGCAGTCGTGCGCACAGACAAAGAATCAATTTGTTGTTTGGTTACAGCAGAGATGAGTTTGAAGGCTTACGAAAGCTATTTCAATGTCGAACAAGCCTCGTGACGGAATGCAATACCTCGGTGGTGTGATTCCTCCTTCGACCCTGGGTATCTCTCGCGCGCGACAAGGGATTCAGTCCACGAGACACGGGTACCCGGACGATATAACACGATCAAGCTCCCGGGACAGTTGTAGCGGATGGGATTACCATTGCCTTCTCAGAAATCCTGTCAATAAGTGGATGCAGGAGATGGATGGCTCACCACTACGGGAATCTGCTGTGGCCCAGGCAACTGCACCCACCACTGCTGCCAACGAATCTCAGAGACTGGCCGTAGATGCAGAGGCTCCGACCCAAACATACATTTCCCAATCTCAGCAAGAACCTAGCGGCGTAAAGAGGGAGGCCGTCGAGGCCCGAAGTCCGGACGAGCAAGCATCCTCATCGACACCCGGGGAGACCAATGCTCCCCCTTGCGTGTCCGATGCTCAGCCACCGCAGCCCTCGAGTACGCCGGTGAAGGTGCCTGAGCCACACGTGGAATGCTCCTCGGAGCCTTTGGAGTCCCCTGCAGATGCTTCTGGCGCACCAGACGAGCCTGGCAGCATGCCGAAAGCCTCTCAGGATGGGGGGGGCACGCAGGTGGATGTCCCCCCGTCCCAGCTCCCCACAGACGAGGAGATCACATACCGCCTCCAGGAATTGCTGACTGAGGTGGACTTGCAGTCCACCACAGGTGGGCCAGTCCTTGCGAACGAGACGCTTCAGCGTGGGGGTGCACCGTCATCACTGGCATGGCCGGGGCGCTCACCGCTTTCCTTTAGCATCCCCTTTGCAGAAAAGATGCTGCGGCGAAGACTCGAGCAGGAATTTTCGACGGACCTCTCTAGCAAAAAGGCCCTCCTGCGTGCAGAAGTGGGTGGTGGCAGGAACCCTGGCACTGCGGGAGCCCATGCGCTGCGAGAGGCTGGCTGGGTGCTGCGCGTGGGAATCCAGCGGAAGCCTGCTGACCATGTGATCCCACCCCCTGACTCATCGCAGGTGGAGGCGTACCTGTCATCACAGCCGGCCCCCCCGGGGAGCGAAGCGGACGAGGAGCCCACTGCCCGGTGAGCCCATGGGGGCCGGCTTCTTAAGGGTTTGCTGGGCGGCCGAGGTAGTCGCAGCGTGCAGCACAGTCGTCTCCCGGCCGCGCCTCTCCGACACTGTGCACCACCCACACCCCAGGCGTTGGTTGGAAACTGTGTGTTCCTTCTGCATTGCCACAGCCTGATGTGTGCCCCTACTGCCTTGGGCCCAGCCCCCTCCTCCCCTTCCCTCTATCTCTCAGACCCATGATCACCCCCCTTCCCCCCTACCCCTGGCGCTTTCCTGCCAGGAGTAAGAGGCCCCGCAACTCCGGCGCGGGGCTGGGCTGCGCGCTTTCCCCAGCAATGCAGGCCTTCCTGGGCGAGACCAGCCTGCCCCGGCCGCAGGTGGTGAAGCGGCTGTGGGCCTACATCAAGGAGCACGACCTGCAGGACCCCAAGGACCGGCGCCGCATCCTGCTGGACGACGCGCTGTCCACCATCTTCCCCGGCAAGTCGACGGACATGTTCAAGATGAACAAGCACCTCAGCCGGCACTGCTTCGTAGAGGACGCGCCCGGGGTGGAGGCCTCCGACGACGACGACGACGACGACGCAGGAGCGGGCTCGTCGAAGGCAACGCCGCGGCGCGTCAGGGCGCGGTCCGATCCAGGCCGCGCGGCGACGCCGGGCGAGAAGCGGGTCAACGGCTTCACCAAGCCCCTGCGCCTGTCCCCCGCCATGGCGGCCTGGGTGGGCGCCGGCACCGCCTCGCGCCCGGCCATCGCCAAGCACATGTGGGCCTACGTGAAGGAGCACGGCCTGCAGGACCCCGCCAACAAGCAGTTTGTGGTGTCCGACGCCACGCTGCGCGCGCTGACGGGGCAGGACCGCTTCAAGGCCTTCGGGTTTTCGGCCCTGGTCAAGCAGCACATCCTGGGCTACGAGGACTGACAGAGGCGGGTGCGCCTGGTTGTGCCCCCTCAAGAGCATGCACTGGCCCCGCCCAGAGGCATGACGTACGTCCCCCCGATGCGCGAGCGACTGCTGCGCTGCTCCCTGCAGGCCCTCCGCTGCGCTCCCCCTTGTCATGCCCACACCATTCCTCCCAGACCTCCACCCGCGCCCTTGCACCGCCTCGCGCGCTGTCCCCTCCCCTGACACCTGCGCCCGCCGATGCTCAAGTACCGACACCAGGGCAACAAGGGGCAAGGGGTGCTGCAAGGGGGGGCCGACCAGGCTCCTAAAATGCGGGCCCGGGCCTGCAGGTTCGGCCTGCTCAGCGTGCACGGCGTGGCCCCTTTCCTCAAGCAGTGGCCGCCAGACGCTGCGGCTCCTCCGCCTCCTCCGCCTCGGGCTCGACCTTGACGAGGCCCACGTGCTGCAGTATGCCCACCGCCGACTTCTCCAGATTCAGGGTGTACATGTGGATGCCGGGCGCGCCGGCGTCCAGCAGCCGCTGCGCCATGAGCGTGCCGAGGGAGATGCCGTAGGCCTGTGCGGGTGAGGAGGGCGGTGGAGAGGCGGGAGGTGAATCGGGCGGTGGGGCGCATGGGAGCTGTTGGGGGTGATGGGGTGGGGTTAGAGCCCCTCCCTCAAACACGACTCCACATTCCTCACTGCAGCTCGCTCCACCCGCCCACCCACCTTGATCGCCTCGTCGTTGTCCTTCAGCGCCTCCACGGTGGCCGCGATGTGGGCGGGCACCCGCGTCTTGCAGAAGGCGGTCATGCGCTTGAAGCCGCCATAGGTCATGAGCGGCATGAGGCCAGGCAGGATGGGCACGGCGATGCCCTCGACGCGGCAGTCACGCATGAAGGCGAGGAAGCAGTCGACATCATAGAAGAGCTGGGTGATGATGAAGTCGGCGCCGGCCTCCACCTTGGCCTTGAGGTAGGCCAGGTCGCTCCGGTAGTTGGCCTCCATTGCCACGGGATCGTCCACGATGAGGTCGGGGTGGGTCTCGGGGTAACCGCTCACGCAGATGCCAAAGTAATCGCCATACTCCTGCCTGTGGAGGAGTGAGAGGTGGGTCTGACGAGGGCAGGGTGGACCGGGGGGGTGCAAGCGCAGCGCATTTGGTGCGCGGGTGCAGGCCGGGGCATGGACCGCAGGGGCCAGACCAAGCGACACCAGGGAGCAAGATGCAGATTGTGTGTCTGGGCCTGGGGTTTGCGAGGGATGCCGGTTCCCAGAGTTTCCACAGGTGATGAGCAGCCAGCCACAGGCGGTCCCTTCCCCCCCTCACAGAATGCATGTCTGCACAACACAGAGCACTCTCCTGCTCCGCACCTGATGTACTTGACGAGGTCGAGGGCACATGCAAAACCGCCATCCACAGCAGTGAAGCTCGTCTCGCCCTTGGGCGGGTCACCTCGCAGGGCCAGGATGTTGCGAATGCCCATAGACTTGGCCTGCAGGAGGAGACCAGGAGTGGCATGGCTGGGTGGGTGACTGCCTGGAATCAGGCACTGGTGGATCCGCATTGGGCTCAGATACGTGAGAAGCGAGACCAGACGATGAAGCAGGGCATGCCAGCGGCTCGGCACCCCTCCTCGCTAGAACGCAGCGGGCAGCTGGACCCATGTGTACCAATCACACCTTCTCCAGACTCTCGTGCAGCTTCTCGATCGACATGTTGGTGCAGGTCAGGTGCATCATGGTGTTCATGCCGATCTGCAGGTGAGCGGCAGGTAGCCTCCAGGCCTTGTCAGCACAGCAATTTGATCAGGTCTGTCCCTGGTCTTGTCTCGTCCACTAGCACAGGGGCCGACCCAGCCCCGGGAAACGGATGCAAGCCTCCAAGTACTCACCTCCTGCTGCATGGCCCCTGCAACCTCCAGGGTGACATCAGCAGTGGAGCCCCCAGCTCCCCAGGTGATGTCACAGAAGGCGGGGCCCAGTTTCACCATCCGGCGCTGGCGCTCCTGCAGGTTTCGCACCCCCTCATCGGTCTTGGGTGGAAAAAACTCAAAGGAGTAGAAGGGCTGGCCTCGCTCGATGTAGGCGTTGAGCGTGTCGATGATCTTGGACATGGTGGGTGGAGGGTGTGGCACGGAGATCCCTGGAGGTCGTTCGGGGGGCACCGCTGTGCTACCTCGGATCTATGACAGACCTGACTCTCTATGTGAGGGCGAAGTTGCATGGCACGCTCGGGACCCCTCTGGGAATGCATGCATCCCAGATCCCTTGCATCGGTTCGCGCGCCCGCCCCGACAGTCCAGGACGATTTGCTGTGCAGCAGCTGGCGTCGAGTTTAAGGACAGGGATGCACCCATGCGCATCGCTGACTGTGCAAGAACAATCAAACCCACAAATCTGCAGTCACATGTCGACCATAAGGGTCATGGCTGGGAGTGCAGGCGGTCTGTGATCGGCCTGCGGACCCACCAGCAGGCGGCCATGACCATCGTAGTGCCTCCGAAGACTCTCCATGTCGTATTCGCGGGTCAGTCTGGCGATGTACACACGATCTTACACAGCTGAATGTACTTAGGTTGCTAGCATGACTCGATGTCGGCCGCTGCGACACACGTTCTCCACCCGTGGCCCCTCCCAGGCGATGACCCCCAAGATGTCGAGGCGGCCTTCTGTCTCCTGGCAGACACCCCCCCCTCACCCAGCGCCACGCTGCCCCACGTCCTGGAGTCCCACCACTACAGCAAGAACGTCCACGCCTACTGCATCCCCCTGCGCGCCGATCACGACGCATCCAGCAGCCTGGAAGCGGTGCGGGTCGAGGAGGCGGCCCGCCAGTGCAGCCTGCTGCTCCTGTGCCTGCGCTGCCAGGGCCTGGTGTGGGTTGCCCGGGGCTCCTCCTGGGTCGTGCGCCTGCTGAGCACGCTGCGCGTGCTCCAGGGCGCCAAGCTCGCGCTGGCGCCCAGCCTCCCCGAGCTGGTCCCAGGCGCGACGCGCCCGGCCCTACTCGTGCTCCTGCAGCAGCAGGGAGCAGCAGCACGTGACACGCGCCGCGCCGCGCCCTCCGACGCCGACTCCTCGGCGCTGGGGAGCGCGCTGCGGGTCTGCGGGACTCTGCGCTGCGCCGAGGCCGCCAGGTCGCTCCTGCGCCTCGGATCATGCACTCCCGCCGGCGCCAGGGCGCCAGGCGCAGCTCCAGCCCTGGTCCTCACGGTGCCTGCCCTGCACGTGCCTGCCCTGGAAAGGGCGGCAATGGCATTGGACCGCAAAGACAGGGAAGAAGACCCCCGGGCGCTGGCCGACGACGTCCTGCGCCACGTTGTGGCGGCCTGTGCCGAGGGCCTCGGGTCGGACTCCCAGGAACCCGGGCCAGCAACACACGACGGCCTGTCGGCGCTGCTGGAGGCCCTGCTGGACGCCCAGCCGCCGGAGGGGCGCGGCCCGAAGCCCGTGGTCCAGGCGGCGCAGTGGCTGGCGGCGTGCCACTATCCCGCCGCCCAGTTCTCCGCTGCACACTGCGGCCGGGCGGCCCGACGCGCCCTGGAGCTCTTCCTGCGCGAGATGGGCGAGGGGCTCGTGGATGAGGCCGCCTTCTCTGCAGCTTCCATGGTGAGGGGGCTGGGCTGGTGTGTGTGTTTGTGGCCCCCTCCGCCCCGCCCCTGTGTCCGGGTCGGCGCTGGAGAGGCGGGGGACGCTGCGCGTATCAAGGCCGCGGAACTCCCGTGGCAGCTTCGCTCCCCTCCCTGGGAACCGTCACCGTACCCTCATCATCATCATCATCACAATCAGCATCGTTTCCTCCTCTGACACCAACCCCGCCCCTGCACAGGCGGGACTGAGGGCGTACGATGCCGCGGCCAGGGGCCCCTGCAGGCCGCGCCTGCGTGCCGAGCTTGCGGCCGAGTTCGAAGCCACGTGGAACCGGGACCGGCGGCGGTGCGGGGCGGTGAGCCTGACCGGGGCTCGGTGCCAGCTGCCGATGCAGCCAGAGGGCCACGGGCACGCTGCCCCGCAACTCAAGCTCTCCACGCTGGATGGCATGCGCCAGCTGGCCCTGCCCGCGCCCTTCTCCGGCCGGGAAGTGGAGGAGGTGGCACGCAGGCTCAGGCGGGAGTGCACGCTGCAGCCGGTGTGGTCGCGGGGGCTGCGACTGGAGGAGAGCCCGGACCAGGGAGGGTCCGCGGCGTGGCAGGCGGGGAGCGGCGTGCCCGCGCCCGCCCCCGCCAGCGCGCCCCAGGCGCTGGAGGTGCACCTCTTTGCGCTGACGCAGGACGACGGGGCTGCCTCGGGCCTGCCACACTGCAAGCTGGTGGTGCAGTCCCCGGTCCCTGCGCCCGCCGAGGAGTTCCCCGCTCTGGGGCAAGCTGCGGTGGCCCCACCCCCGCCCGAACCAGAGGTGCTGGACTGGCCGGGACCCAGCGGAGTGCCACCCAGCGAGGCTGGTGACCTGCTGCGCGCGCCCACGGTGGGTGTGCTGCATTGCAGGCGGCTGGGGCCGGGGTTGCATGGTTGGTGCTGGGCCCATGGCCGCCCCTGCCTGCTGCAAGACACCTTGAATCGCTCCACGGCTTCCCAGCCGAGCGCTCGCCCCACCTGCTCCTCGGCAGAGCCCCGTCCCCCATCTGCTCCTCGCCCACGTTCCCCACCCCACCCCACCCCCCTCCCTCCCGTGCCTGATGCGCAGCCGGCGCCCATCCCGGGGTGGCGTTTCCGCCGCAGCGAGGGCAGACTGACCTACGGACTGATCTACGAGGCCCCCCACTCCGGGGACCGGGTGCGGCTGTGCCCCGCCACCCTCAGGCGCTGCCTGGCCAGCTCCCTGGACCGGGTGCGCCCCGTCGCCGGCCCCGTGCCGCGCCCCACCGCGGCCTCGCCGGGCCAAGGCCCTGCCACCGCATTGTTCTGCGAGGCGGGCGAGGCCACCGGTCTGGGGCCCGCCATCCTGCTCGGCAGCGCCTGCCCACTCTTCCTCCTGCTGGCAGGGGAGGGGCCGGACGCCGAGTGGTACCAGCTGCGCCGGCTGGTGGTCAACTCCAGCGAGGCTCGCCTGCTGGAACTACGCGCGCGGCCCCAGCTGCTGTGGGAGATGGAGGGAGGCCGGGTACGGCTCGCTCCGAGCGAGGCCACAGATGTCCCCCCGGGCCTGCACTCCTTGGCGCTGCCGTGGAGCTATGGCGGGCCCGGGAGGCCCCTTCCCTGGGCGGGCGAACGTGATATGGGACTCTGCGCCAGGCTGCTCCCAGAACCGATCCTCCCCCGGACCTTCAGGAGGGCAGCGTCCTTGCCTGACATCTCCCGACCCTGACCTCCTGCGGCGACCAAACGTATGCGCAGTGGGGGCCATGCCTGGCAGTGCTCCCACCGAGTTGCAACCGAGGATCCTGCCCCCTTCAGTGCTCCATGCTTCAGCGCTGCACGTGCTCACGAGGGGACTCACACACAGTGGTGATGTGATGTGACTGCCAGGACAGATACACACAAGGACCACAGCCTGGCAGGGGGGTGCCACGGGCGCAGCACACGTGCAGGTCAGGCGGCGCGGGCGAGGGGCTGCAGGAGCAGGCTCGTCTTGGGCATGGTGCGGGCCAGCTCCGAGGCCACGGCGTCCGCCTCCTCCGGCCCCAGGCTCCGCCCGGCCTCGTTGGTCGCGTCCACAAACACACCCAGCGGGTTCTTGGCCTCGGGGGGGAACTCGGTGAAGGTGGCCATCGCGCCGCGCTGCACCAGGTCCAGCTTCTCCATGGCCGCCGCGCCGATGCGCACGTGGCTGGTCAGCCCCGTGAGGTGCAGCAAGTAGGCGCAGCAGAAGAGGCGCGCGGCGTGGCCGGCCGGCCCCGCGGCCACCGCCCCGGGCCCGCCGGCCGTGGCCCGGGAGGCCAGGGAGGCCAGGTATGACGCAAAGGCCCGCGCGCTGGTGCTGGGGGCCGGGGCCGCCGGCAGCTCGCTGGAAAGGGCGGCGACGTCGCGGGCGATGGCGCCGGCCCTGGCCAGCCCCACCTCCGGCGCGTAGCGTGCCAGCGCGGCGCGCAGGCCTGACGAGATGCAGCTGGCGGCGGTGACGGCCTCCAGCGCCGCCTCCAGTGCCTTGTGCACAGTGTGCAGGTCCACGAGGTACTGCAGGTAGTGCTCCAGCTTGAAGGCCCACTCCTCGAACGGGGGAAGAGGCTTCATCCCGGGCACGCCCGTGATGTTCAGGCGCCCAGCCCTCTAAAGAATGGGGAATCGTACGGGGGGAAGGCGTGGGTGTGAGGCCATGGGTCCGGGGCTGAGGTGAAGATGGTTGTGCCCAGGCTCGTCGCTGGGCTGAGCTTGATGAAGCTGGCATGCAGCACATCCTCAGCCATGCACTCAGCCATTCCCAACACAGTATCCCATTGTCGGGCAGAATGTCACCATGTTTATCACTCAGTGTAAGAATCACTCACTACACCCTCACCTGGAGGGCCTGCAGCTCACGTGCCAGCCTGTCGTGGAGGGTGAGGGCTTCCACCGAGGCAATGGAATCAGCAGGCGCGGTCTCATCAATCTGGAGATCGCCCAGGTTCTCCCTGGTCCCAGATCCCCAGTCCTTGACCTAGGTTGGGGGATGAAAGGAAAGGTGTGGGAGACCTCAGATGGCGCCCCTTGGCCCAGAAGCGTCCACTCTGTGGAGTGCCCTGATCAAGCGTGGCAGACACCAGTGCATGCAAGGAAAACCACCTCACCTTGACAAAGTCGACCTTCCCCTTTTTTGCCTGCTCCTGATTAATTGCCTTGTACACTCCCGCCGCCTTCAAAGCCTTGTCTATTGCCTGAACAGGAGTGGGCAGTCGACCCTCGAGCCTGGCCCGCCCCCAGAATGCATCGGTAGCTGCAGGACCCCCCGCTCCTCCCTCATCAACGCCCACTGACCTGAACATCGGAGATAGGGGTGCTTTCTGGGTCCTTTGACGATTTTTTCTGGGTCTTAGGCCCAGGCTTCTTGGAGCTGAAGCCCTGCCCGGCAAAGGCCACGACGCAGGTTCGGGCGGGCCGATTGAGGTGGCTCGCAAAGTCTGGCAAGCATGAAATGGCTGGCACGTAGAGCATCGCGATATCATGCACCGCGTCGCCCCCATGTAGGCTGTCCCATGGGCCTTTGAGTTGCGGGATGCCTCGCGATCGTGCATGCATGGCTTCCCACTCCATGACATGCGTGCTGTCCACCCCTGTCGACCTCTCTCATGTGCTCAGAGACTTCCTCCAGGATTCTCTCAAAAAGCCTCCGCCAACGAGCTTCGTGACATGCGAGACACATGCAAGGGTCGCATGTGTTTGATGTTTATTTCAGGTGTAAGCTTCACTGAAGGCCTGGATGCCTGGCCTGCTGAACCCCAGGCACGAGGGCCTCGCTACCGTCAGCCGGCCTGCTGCATCGCCGCAGTCCGCTCGATTCCTGCGGCAGGGGGCCGCTTCACACGGCGGTTCCCCGTGACCACGAAGTTGTGGTAGTCCATGGCGTAGGGGAACACCCTGAAGTCGGTGTAGAGGGCTGTGCCGGAGGCGTCATAGTGCATGGCCCTGAAACAGCCCTGGCACCAGAAGAAGGGCGAGGCGGGGGCGTAGCGGTCGTCGTACGTTACCTGTTTTGCGGAGTGGATGCCGCACACCTGCAGGGATGGCGGACCGGGGCGAGGAGGAGGATGGGGTGTGGTGGAGAGCTGGTGCAGAGATGGATCCGGGACCCGGTCTCACCGACGCCCTTGCCCCACGCACATCGCAACAGACCGCGGCCCCCATGCCCACCTCACACGCCCGCTGCTGCAGGTAGGAGGGCCCGGAGAGCTGGAGCGGGTACTGGCTGACAAAGGGGGGGTCGCACCCTGGGTCAAATCGCCGTACATCTGCCAGCGTCAGCACATGCTCGCACCCTCCCTGCAGGCCAACAGGGGAGGGGGCGGGGCCATGACGGTTTCCTCGGCATCTATCCCGAGGCTGAGCGGAATGCACAGCAGCATGCACACGCCAGGGCGCCTGCCAGACTCGTGCCCCGTGAGGAGCCCCCATGGCCTACATGCCTGGCTCTGATCACCCCACCTGGTGGCAGTACAGGGCTGGGGCGGCAGCACCCACGCGCAGCCAAAGGTCGCAGAGCGGCACATCCATGCTGGCCACGCTGAATGATGTCGTCTGGATGTCGAGCCGGTCCGACCCTGGCAAAGGGTGCGGGGGGGCAGCCTGGCCCTGGTCCCTGTCGGTGTGAGGGGGAAAGGGTGGGAGCGAGCTGCGAGCCCGCAGGACGAGAGCGCTGGGCTCACCCCGGCGGCAGAGAGGCTGGAGCTTGGAATTCCTCGCCATGGAGCCGTGCATCCAATCCCTTCCCGCCGCATCCCAACCTCATCGCGATACAGGCCGCCGCAGGGGCCCGCCATCGGCTGGGCCCCGGCCACGCTCCCTCGCCGGGCTTTCCCAAAGCAATGTGCGACTGGCATCCACCGCATCCCTGCCTCACCTCAGGTACTGCCGGAGGGAGGCGGTACAGTCCTTCGCCCCTGGGGTCTGGGTGTCCACATAAAAGGTGCCCTCCACGTATACGTGCGCCGACGGCTGTGCCAGGCTCAGTCTTTCCGATCCCGCGCCGCGCCGCGCGGCGTTCTCGGCCTCCTCCACCGCCCGAGCGTTCAGGTCGGACAGGCAGAAGAGGGAGCCGCACAGCGTGCGCAGCGTGTCAGACCCGCGCACCAGCCACTCCTCGGACACCAGATTCCCGGCTGAGGGGACGTGGACGAGGATGTGGAGCAGCGCCTCGTCGTGCGCGACTCTTGGAAGGTGGAGTGGGGAGGCGGGACGAGGGGCGGAACTGAGTATGAGGGGGGGAAAGAGGTCTGGTCCATTGGTCACCCTCCAACCCTGCTCTTCAGCACCCTCATGCAGGAGCAGCTCCATGGCAATGAATCAGGCCAGGAGTGAGCCACCCAGCATCCCGACAGGCTGCAGATTCTCCCTCAATCTTCTCACGGGGCCACATTTATGAGCAGGCAAGCCAGAATGTTGTGCGACCCCTGTCTCGCCCCACCTGGCTTTGCCCTCGCAGTGCTCCTCGGGCACTGCAGCACAGGCGAGGCGCTGCTCCTGCGCCGCCTCCTGGGCCTGCAGGGGCGAAGCCCTGGCCGACGGGGCATCGGAGAGCAGTGGGGATGCTTGCACGCTGAGCAGCATCTGAGGTCGGTGGAGGAGGGGTGATCAGAGTGGGAATTGAAACCAGGCCATAGATGTACGATCACATGAGGGAGCGACGATTCTCTTCGTTTCCGGACCACACCACTCAAGGCCCTCACCCAGTGCGCAAAGGCTGATCCCGTGCCATGCGATCAAACAAGACCCTGCAGCCAGGCGCACCATCTCCACAAAAGCCTCACCTTGGCAGCCAGACGGCGTTCCCTCTCGCGCTGTGCATGGAAAACCTCGAGCCGCTGCCTGTACGTCCCCAGCAGGGCTGCCGTGATGGGCTTGGCACCGCTCAGCGCGGCTGCAGCACCAGGCAGGGGCGGCTGGGAGCCAAAGGCATCTGGCTCCCCCAGGGCATCCTCCTCGCTCTGCACCGCCAGTGCTGAGGTGTCCACATCCACCTCCTGAGGGAAGGGGCGGCAGGGATTGTCGGTCAGTCAGTAGAATCTTGCAAAAATGCATACATCTTCAGCCCGCCAATACATCGTGTTTCCCGGAAAGGCCCCACTTGCCTCACCTGATCAGCGGCAGGACATGCATTCAGGGTGGTCGCCAGCTGCCCCTGGAAAGCTGTCCATGACTGGATCACATCCGACACCCTGGACGGGCGATGGGGCATCAGACGCTTTCATCATATACATAGAAATGTGAAGTTTACACTTGAAGACCCGGAGGAAGGGCATGCGCTTAGCAGCTTCAACAGGCCCGCATACCTGAAAGCTTCAGTGGCAAGATTTTGTGGGTACTGGCCGGGGCTGACCACGCTCCTGGCCGCATCGGTCACACTGGCCACCGCTCCAGCCACGGCATGGGTATTTTGTGTTGTCCCTGACTCGACAGCGGTCGAGCGGCGGCGACCTGCCCACCTGCGCTGCGGTCGAACCATTCGATGGATACTACAACACTGTGTGTTGCCTGTCTGTCACATCTTGGAGACGCATGTCGACAGACTGATGTTTCGATGCAAATAATATGATCAATATTACCGATCTGGATGCAGTGGCTTCCAGCGTACATCGTCACTGAGTGCTCCCCCCTCCGGTTGCTTTGAGAGATTTTGCTCGGAGGGTGAAAGCACGGTTTGAAGGTGTGAGCACCCACCCACTCGTCCCATGAGGCAGCCTCCTCCAGCTCACTGCCAGTACCTCCAACAAGATGGTGCCATCCCAGTTCTCCATCATATCGCACCTGGACTTATCAAGCAGCCTGACATCCCCTCAGTATGCCCAGCCTGCATCAGAAGAGGTGCTTTCGACCCTTCCTAGGGCAAACTCACCATGGTGGAAACTTCCCACTGGCGCACACTAGCTAGGCTGGAAGAGTGATTGCTGCTTAACAGACGGAAGTAAAGGGTCAACGGGGGTCAAAAATCCTCACATATCACACTGCGTGTCAGAAATGGTGTACATATTCTTGAAGGGAGCCCGGCAGGGACGCCACCCTCCCTCCTCCTAGCTGCCCACAGGGACCATCCTCTGCAGCCAGGGGGTCCTGTGTCACCAAGCCCTCCGCGCGCGCGTCACCACGCCTCCACGCGCTCGTGCTTGAACTTCTCGCTGGGCACCGGGTAGGGCGCCAGCTTGCCCTCCCTGGCCGCCGCCTCCACGGCCTTGGACGCCGCGGCGCAGGGGGTGCCCTCCACACAGGGGCAGCGCTGAGCCAGCAGCTCCTCGGGCTTGTACCAGCCGCACCAGTTGCGTGCCATGGCCACGTTATTGGGCAAAAAGTACTCCTTGGCGGGGTTGAAGGTCAGGGGGGCCACCGAGGCGACGCCGCTGCTGTTCACGGCCGAGCTCCGCGTCAGCCACACGTTTGTGTTGAAGCCGAAGGAGGAGTGGTAGGAGTGGGGGTGCAGCGCCTGGGGCACCTTGTTGCAGTCGGGCAGGTACGCGGCATGCTCCGGCAGCTGCGATGCGTGGGAATGTTGGGGGTTGCTCGTTCCCTCTTTGTGGGGGGGGAGATCCAGCAATGGGGGTCTGATCGTCGTGGTTGGGAGGTGCGGGGTGTCCGAACAATTCGTGCAGCCGGGTGCCCAGGTCAGTCACAATCGGGTGCCCCTAGGCTCACTGGGACCACAGGACATGGCACAGGTACGCTCCTCACACCTAGGCCGCCTGGCGAGGCCCAAAGCTACATTCACCAAACACCGCCCGTCTAGGGCCACCCCATTGAACCAAGCCCTTACCTCCTCCTTCAGCTCGCAGCCCAGCTTGCCGAGCTTGGCGCGCTGCATGTCCTGGATGTCCAGATCCAGCATGTAAGTGAGCACCCGCTCCAACACTGGCATCGACACGTTGAATCCCGGATAGGTGTACACCTTGGACCAGGGCAGGTCGTACGCAAAGTACCCTGCCTCAATGAGCCTGCAGGGGCATGGGGCGGGGGGGGGGGGGGGGGGGAGGTCAGGTCGGTAACAGAGTGGCAGCTTCGGGTCACAACGGCGCTGCACGCCCCCAAGACCTCCTACGCTCCAGCGCTGGACGTTGGCGGGGCAGGGAGTCTGCGGGTGCGAGCGCTGAGCGAGGGGCGGCCTCCCGTGCTGGGCCCCAGGGATCCTGCGCGCGGATCTCCCTCTCAGCCCCCCACCCCTTCCCCCTCTGCCTCAGAAAACTCACGCTTTGAGCATGATGGGGTTGGACATCGACTTGTCCCAGTCACGCTGCCAGTCGCCAACTCCTGGGGAGTACTCCATGATGATGTTTTCCACGCTGCGCTTGAGCAGGAGGTCGCGGGCCCCCCTCATCACGCTGGGCTCAAAGCCCTCGACGTCGGCCTGTGTGGGCGGCCACGGGGAATGGCAGTCAGATCCCTGATGGACTGCAGGGGGCTGACGCCACCAACCAATGCAGACCAGTGTGCCACTTCATGACCACACACTAAATTCCACTTCGTCTTGGAAGTGGGAAATTGAGAAGCCCGGCCTGTGCAGCTGCCCAGAAATCTACAAGGACCCCCATCGCCAGGCCGTCCAGGCCTCACAAAACCTCGACCCACCTTCATCAAGAGGATGTCCTCGTGAACCACGGAGTCCAGGCGCTCGGTCGTCTTGACCACCAGCTGATGGCTGTGCTCGAGATTCCTGCAGCAGGGAAGGGTGCGTTGGGGGGAGCAGGGGTGGGGATGATGGTTTTGGGGGATGACAATGGTAAAAGGGCCGACTTCGCAACCTGAGACCCGCGCAGGCTGCTCGGCTCTGCACAGCAGGCACTGCCCTCATCCCAGGCCCTCCCGGGACCCATCCAGTACAAGGGGGCAGAGTGGGTCGCGACTTACACAGTGGAGTTTCCTGGCACGACTGCAGCCGTCCCCCAGATGCCCTTCCTTGGAACATGGATGCTCAAGCTGGCGCCATCAGAGTCGCTCACAATCTTGTCGCTCAACTGCAAGAGGATGGTACAGGTGTACTCAGGCCAGTGGGAGAGAGAACAGACCAAATGGCGGGTGTCTAGGACTGGGCTGCCAATGATACAGCAGAAGGCTCTGGGGAAGAGATTCGTGATCACCCAAGCCGTCAGGGTCAGGGCATTGTCAGCCAACAAGTGCTTCATATCCCCTTGCAGACGCTTTCCCTTTCTCACCTCTACAAGGTGAGTCAGGTTGTTCAGCAGCAAGCCATACTGTGTGAAGGCTGCGAACATTGGTACCGGCTCCCAGGCCTTGACCCTGCGACACAGGGCATAGGGACGGACGCATAAGTCTCAGCAGCAGCCTCTGGCGAGGGAGGTCTTTGGAGTGAGGTCCTCAAGACATTCGGCAAGCACTCATGAAACGATGCCATCAATGCGTGCGCGGCAAGCTACTGCAGCACGCCCCGGCATGCTCCTGCCTTTCATGTAGGAAAAGAGTGGCGACCACCCAGCGCGCCCCAAACCATTGCCACCAATGATAGCTGGGAGCCCAAGGGCCGTCCCCCCCCTTCCCGGCTCCTGCCCACCTGCACCCCAGGGAAGCCGCCATGAGGGTGTAGTACCCAAAATTGGCACCCACATCCACCACCAGCCTCCGACTTCCATCCTGCTGCACACAGTTTGCTAGGAGCTGGTGCCTGTGCGGATTGGCGGGGGTGGAGGAAAGGTCGGGACTCTTCAGGACACACAGGCACATGATTCGCAAGGAGTACAAGGTGCAGCTTTTCTTTCCCCCAAGGCAGCATGTGACAGGCGCACATTCAGGGAAGGGTGGCTGGCATCAGGCCCTCCGCCTGAGGGACCATGGCCCACCATACATCTTCCGCCATCTTCCCCCTCCTCCACCCCATACACAACCACCCCCCTCCCTCTTTCCCCCTCACCAGAGCAGGGTCAGGACAGGCTCAAAAAGCCCTGTACCGTTGACGTGGCGTGACACATCCGTGTCCAGCTCTGGATCCGTGATCCCGAAAATGTAGCCGGCGGGGGAGGCCACCCTGCGCACCAGCAGCTTGGTCTCCGCCGTGCGCAGCAGCGCCACGGGCGCCCAGGCCAGGGCCTCTGGGGTGGCGGTGGTCACCCAGGGCCCGCAGTCCGCGCAGTCCGTGCCCAGGTCGCACACCACGGGGTGCAGGGTCTCGTAGAAGGAGGTCGCGTTGCTGCCGGGGCTGGGGCGGCCATCCTGGCACACGCCGTCACGGGCGGTGGGGCAGGTGTTCTCGCACACGGTGCGCACCGGGCCGGGCTTGATGCTGCGTGTCGTCCCGGTCAGGGAGGCACGGGAGAAGGCGCTCTTGACCACCTCTTGGGCGCCCTTGACCACCCCCTGGGCCTCCTTGTTCAGGGCCTTGGTCTCCCAGCTCGGGGTCTGCTGCGCAGTATGGGGGAATGGGCTGCAGCGGCAGGCTTCAAAACCATGTGTCGTTCTACATCTGGCAGGTTTAACTGCTGGATACTGGGCCGTGCCGGCGCCAGGTGCATGCCACAGCGCACATACCTGGAAGTCGCCTGTAGCGAGCACGGACTCGCCCAAGAGCGGTTTCCCAAGCCGGCCGATCAGAACGCCGGCAAGGAAGACGAAGATGACGAAGCTTAATCTCGCCGTTACACTCGCTCGGAAGCGCTTCTTCATGGATCGGTCCATGGTGCGGTGTGCGGCACGATACCCCGACAGGGTAGGGATGCCCTGGCACACTCACCTACCGCAGACGTCGGCTAAAAGTATGGCAAACTACGGGAGCAAATCGTGGACGCCAGCTTGCACGCTTCTCTCTTTTTGAAGGCACGAAAATTTGACCGCTGCATGACCTCTAATGGCTCGGGAACCGCTCTATTGCCCGTCCAAGATTTCTACGTGGACACTCCTCGTAGCGGTCGTTCGACCCTGGATATAGATGTTTTTAGATCTTGCGGTGACCGCGCAGGCGAGAGCTCGCCACGTACCTCCTTGACATTCGAAGCTATAGTCAAGGCCACGCATGCAGATTAATGCATTAATCATAATCGGATTTTCTCTTTCTGAAAAACGTATGCACTAGCACTTAGGCGGAAGCGCGGGTGTCCGGAGGCTGCATCCTGGTGTGGGGCCGTCGTGCAAATCGCGCGAGCACGACGACGGAGCCGCTCAGCATTACACGTCGCACCGACGCAACCCAGAGGGGGGCCATGCTCTTCCAAAAGCACGCAACAGAGTTCGCATGGTGATCACCCCTTGATGTAACCGCCCTCTCTGCATATGGACGCGAAGCAGGAGCCAGCTTCCTTACTCGCTGTCATCGTGCGGACAGCATTGAACCATGGTACACGGTGCGCCCGGTACCCTAAACGACATATCCGCGAGCATTACTGGCATCCTCCACCTTCCGGTGACGGGGCAATGGCCAACGTGGGCATGTTCGATGTACTGGAAAAATTCCATCGGTCCTGCTGCCCCCATGCACAATGAAAACACGGCCACAGCGCCTCTCAGGCATGGCCGGGCTGAAAAAGGACAACATGAATACCAGCCCGTGGGGTGAGATCGGAGTTTGCCGGCGTTAGCCGCCGCTGGCATGCTTACCAGGCCTGCACGCTGAACTGGGTGACCTCCACCGGCTCCATGGGCTTGGGCGCCAGCTTGCCCAGCTTGGCGGCGGCCTCCAGCGCCTTGGCAGCCTGCCCGCACTTCCAGCCCTTGGGGCAGCGGCAGCGGTTGCCCAGCCGCTGGGCCACCGAGAACCAGTCGCAGGGGCGGCGCCCCGTGCCCTGGTTTCCAGGGAGGTACCACTCGCTGGCCAAATCGAAGCCGGCGGGCGCAGCGGTGGCGGTGCCCGTGGCGTTCACGCTGGTGCGCCGCGTCAGCCAGATGTTGGTGTTGTAGCCGAAGGAGGAGTGGTAGGACAGCGGGTGCAGATAGTCGGGCACCGTGTTGCTGGGAGCCAGGTAAGCGGCATGCTCGGGCAGCTGGAAAGGGCGGCGGCGGATGCCAGGGGTTGATACTTTGTCTGAAGAGGGGGCCGCCTTTTGGTCCGGTCTTCGAGGGCAAGCATGGGAGGTGGCACAGTGCAGTCCCCTGCCCGCTGACATGGGCCCCCTGCACGAGGGCGGGGCCACAGCGGACCAGGACTCCCACCCTCCCCACCCCCCCCTCCGCACCTGCTCAAAGAGCTGGGAGCCCATGGCGATGCGCTTGGCACGCTCCATGTCCTGGATGTCGTGCACGAGCATGGACCCCACCACCCTCTCCAGGTTGGGGATGGGGGCGCCAAAGCCAGGGAACTGCTTCTCCAGCGCCCAGGGCACGTCGTAGGCAGAGTACCCCGCATTGAGCAGCCTGTAGCAGGCATTGAGGTTGGACGGGGTGCAAGGAGAGGACTGAGAAATGTTTGTGGCTGGCTGTAGACAGAGCAGCGGGCTCTGCCAGACAGAGCCGTGCATCAGCAGTTGGGCAAATTGGTAAACCTCAGGTTCCGATGGCAGGAAGCACGGTCAGGTGCTGCCTGCACCCTGGTACTTTGGTCAAATCCTAGTCCCACCCCCCCCGTTTCCACTCAGAGAAGCCCTTAAACCCCCCACCTCTCCACCCTCCGCTCTAAGTGGCATGCCTACCCCTCACCACCCGCTCCCCATCCACCCTGTCACTCACGCAGCGATGATCCTGGGGTTCTCGGCCGACTTCTCCCAATTCTGCAGGTGCTCGCCCACGCCGGGGGAGTACTCCATGATGATGTTCTCCACCGAGTGCTTGAGCAGGAGGTCGCGCGCGCTGCGCATAACAATGGGCTCGAAGCCCTCAACGTCGGCCTGTGGGGATGGATGGTAGGCGTGGCGGGGGCGATGTGGCTGAACAACGCTGCAATGCTCAGCAGGGCAGGCCCCCGATGCAAACATGCCTGCGACACCTCTGCAACACCAGAACGCCACGTGAAGGGCCTGATGCAGCCAGTGTGCTTACAGAACATGCAGCACACCTTGATGAGAAGCACATTCTCCTTCACAATGCTGTCGAGACGCTCCGTCGTCTTCTCGATCTCCTCAAAGTCTGCCTTGGCAGCGCTGCACATGGTGGCATGGCATGGAGAGGGAGGGGTCAAGGGATGGTCTGGTTATGATCTTTTCAGGTCAAGCATGCAGGCCAGCTGTCGCTGTCCATACCTCCTGACTAATAGTGGCCGTCTGATATGCACCAGTTCATCAGCGCACCACACCAGCCCCCTCCCCCCAGAGAGATCCCACCGCAGTCAGTCCAGGCAACACACCCTGCAAGGTTGTCGCCTCCCACTCCGGCAGTGCCCCAGATGCCCTTGCGAGGCACGCTCATGGTGAGTTTGGCCCCATTGGTGTCGCTCACGATTTTGTCCCTCAGCTGCAGCAAATGAGGAGCAGGAGTGAGGGGCGGGATGAGTGGCCATTCCTCCGCATGAGTTGGCGCGGTCCGTGCATGCCACACCAGCAGCGCCGCTGCATCCCTCATGTTGGGCGCCTCACGTTCGCACCACAGCCAATGAGCACCAAGCACAGGCTTGTCGGGCACTCGACCCCACAGGCCCCCACGACAAGACCCACCTCCACTAGATGGGTCAGGTTGTTCAGCAGCAGGCCATACTGGGTGAAGGCGGCAAAAGAGGGGACCGGCTCCCAGGCCTTGACCCTGGATGGGTGATGGGCGTGGATTGTTGGAGTGTGCCCTCCAAGAGCAACATACCAAACAAAATTCATCCTGCACCTCGGGCCAGGCCTGAGCACATGCTGTGCTCCGCCCACCTGCACCCCAGGGAGGCCGCCATGAGCGTGTAGTACCCAAAGTTGGCACCCACGTCCACCACCAGCCTCCGGCTCCCGTCGGGCTGCACGCAGTCTGCCAAAATTTGGTGCCTGGGGGGTGCTCAAGGAGGGACAAAACTGCCGGTCAGCAGAGGAGCAGGGCGGCGGGGGTGCTGAGTCGCATGCTGTGGGGCCATTGGGTGCAAAAGGTGACTTGCCTCGCCATCACAATCATCTCCACTCCGTCTCCCAACCCCACACACATCGGTACCCCCTACCACACCAAGTTAACCCCCTCTCCTCCACCCCCACACAGATTCCTCTCACTCCCTTGCAGCACCCCTTGCCCCACCATATCATGGTGAGGATGGGCTCGAAGACGCCGGTGGCATCGACCTTCCTGGAGACGTCAGTGTCGAGGGCGGGGTCCGTGATGCCGAAGAGGTAGCCCGCAGGCGAGGCCACGCGCTTCACCAGCAGCGTATTTCCCGCGTCCCGCAGGCGCGCCACGGGCGCCCAGGCCAGCGCCTCCGAACTGGCGTCCGTCACCCAGGCCCCGCAGTCAGCGCAGTCAGTGCCCAGGTCGCAGGTGACGTTGCGGGCCGTGGCGTAGAAGGCCTCGGCGTCGACGCCGGGGCCGGGCCTGCCGTCCTGGCACACACCGTCCCTGGCGGTGGGGCAGGTGTTGGTGCAGACGCTGCGTGGGACCAGGGGCTTGGTGCTGGAAGGGGTGAGCTCACCCGTTTTCGAGCCCAGGATGGGGATGGACGGCTGGGGCTGAGCCTCGCCCTGGAACTGCGTGCATTGGTGTGGGAGGGGAGTACTCGGGAGGAGGTTAAAGTAACAGGGGCTGGGCAGCCACTCCCCACGAGGCAGCGCAACGTAACCGTCAACCCCTTCCGCACAGTAATCCGGATGCATCCGTGCACAGTGTCTGGCCCTGATCTAGCATGATAGTGTGTCCTCGGTACCTGTTGCCGGAGGAGCGAGTCTGCAGCAGACAGGGGGGCGCTCGGTCGGGGGCCTCCCAACCGGCCAGCTAGGAATCCTGCTAGGAAGGTGCCCAGCAAGAGTGACAGCTTGACCCAGCCACCCATGTGATCAGTTTTACGAAGACTGCGCTGCATTTTGGGAAGTACGGGCGAGCGGGACAGCGCGAAAGTGCGGAAGGAGCGCAGATCACTTGCGCCACGGTCGGGGACCTGCCGGGGGCCGACCACACTTTAAGGGGAGGACCTGGTGCCTCGCGAACGTCCCAGTGCGCGATTCTGTCCCTTGTAATGACCAAAGATAGCTCTAGTAGGACGGGCACCGCGGTCAGGGTCGGTCATGACGCGTTCAGGGCTTCGCCGATCGATCGCTCCTAGCGACAGACCAAACTCGCGCGGGAACGAGGTTAAGAAGGGGAAGGGGGGGCTCAACGAATTTTGAACAAGCACCGAAATTCCCACAGGGGTGCGCAAAACGCCTCCATACTTTGTTCCTCGGACCGATGCGGATACTCCACTTAGCGTGAGATTGCTTAATCAATGCATGACAAGCCCTTGTCCCAGCTTGGTCATTGTCGCTACCAAGCACTTGCCAGTTTAATGCAGCATAGTTCACCCCCGGTCTCTCGGGTAATATGAAGTACACAAACTCGCTACCAGCTGACCTGTTAGTTCATGTGAATGTACAGGCGAAAGATGGCATAAATTCGAGGAGGGAGATTATAGTTTGTAACATCACCCTGTCCCTCGCGGAGAAGTTTCACCACAGCTTAGGATATGGTTCATGCCTCATTTGGGAATGATCGTGGGATCTGACCGTCTCAAGGGTGGATCCCTAAGTTTCTCCATGTGACGATTAGTCATTACGCGCATTCTTAGTGTGCAGCATAGGCTGACAGGATGCTGTGGATATGAAAGGTTTGCACGACACTGAAGTCTAGCTTGCTGTCGCTGTAATTCTGGGGAGATAATTGGAAACAGACAATAGGGGGATGTCGCACCCCGAGTGCAAACGATAGCTTTTTCCTGGCCAAGTTTTACCTCTTCACGGATCGAGTATTGCTCTAAACAGGTCTCAACAAGCATGACCCCCCTTAACATAGGAATCCCGCCCTTCACCGCACGTCAAGCCTGTTTGCTGCTGGGAAGCGCTATTGCAGACTTTGAGATGCACCATGCATCGTATTTCAGCTGTACGATGTGATTGCGGATGTGTGCTCGAATGTCTGGTAACGATGAAGTGGAAATAGTGACAGGCATTCAGCAGAGAGCTACTTGAGCCCCTGCTGAGGCAGTGCGTCAGGCTACCCTTAGGGTCGCCTCTTAAGCTAGTCAATGCTCTCAAACGAGATTCATCTCACTGCTTCACACTAAATATGCCCTTTTACAGTTTGCGGGTCGGTTTTGGATCCACCCCCCACCCACACCTGTCGGTGTCTCTGCTCCTCCGTTAAAAGAAAGACGAGGAGAAGAGATCTGCGCCGAAACCTCGCAACCACCTTTCGCGTCCGTCCGATCCTTGCTCTCCTGCGAGGGCAGCACCCACCCGCTCAGCGATCCGGGGCTTACTTCCATATAGTCAGACGTAACCCCGAATCTGGCAGGTGCTGAAAGGATGGGTCCGGTCGCCCTTTTCTCGGACGCCCGACCCAGCACGCATGCTCTGAGCCTGCGTTTCCGCTGCCCGCACAAGGCTGCCAATATCGCGGTAAAGCAGCCAGCAGCACGCCGAGGCTTGCAGCCCGCTCCTCGCCAGGCGCGTACGGGAGTCTGGAGGGGCCGGGCGACCCGGTGCCGGGCTGCCTTCAGCCCGTTCCCCTTCTCTGAGTCGGATTACTACCGCGCCAGCCTTCAGTTGGTCCAAGTCGCAGATGGGGTGAGCCGGCATCCCAGGATCGGTGTACAGAGTTTATCCGGGGCTGGATCCGAGGACCCCGTCGGTTCGGGGCAGGGAATGGGTGCAACAGGCCGGCTGGTCCCCAGCCCACCCGGGTGCTGGCCCCCCCCTTCAACCCCTCAACACCATGGCCCCATTTTCCCCCCTAAACACCACGGTGCTCGGCCCCCCACCCCCACAGACGCCCGGCTCCGCCAGCCAGAGCTCAGGCCACCTGCTGCTCATGCGCGATGGCCCACGCGGCATCGAGGACACTGAGCGCGGCCTGATCCTGGCGGTCGGGGGCGATACCCTCTCCGGCATCGCGCTGCTGATGCAGGGCCGCGACGGCGAGCGCCCGCTCTGCCTGGACCTGCTCTGGACGGTGCTGCAGCGGGGGAAGGAGCTGAGCAAGCGCGACTGGCGGCTGGAGAGGGTGGCCATCGTGGAGCTGCGCGGCATGGCCTACATCGGCCGCCTCTTCTTTGGCGACGGCGCGGGGGGCGCTGCTTGGGACTGCGACTGCCGCCCCTCCGACGGCTGCTGGCTGTCGCTCAAGGTGGGGTTTGAGGTAGAGGGCTTGGGAGAAAGGGGCGGTGGCATGAGAGGAGCCCACCCGCGAGGGAGCGCATGCCCGTCCCGTTTCCTCCTTGTCTCATAGCCTGGTCCGCTGGCTCCGCGCAATCTCTCCCCTTCTCCCATCCCCCCCTCCCAACCCCTCCCTTTTCCCAGGAGAAGTGCCCCATCTACATCCACCGCCGGGTGTGGGAGGACAACTCCACCCCCCTCCGTGACCTGGCTCGCAAGGACGACGCCCCGTCCCCGCTGACTCAGCGCAGAGGAAAGGGCGGCGCCACGTTGGGCATGGATGGCGTCGTGCTGGGCAGCGACAACAGCCTGCCCTCCCAGGTCACCAGCATCAGGTGGGGCGGTCGAGGGGCCCGTCTGGGTGGCCATGTGCACCTGAGGGTGGCTTGATGCGGTGACGAGGTGCGCATGAGAAGCGCCAAGGCCATCGCAATCCTGGAGGACTGCAAGGTGGTGTGGAGTGTTTTGACTCCACAATGTGCATCAGCCGCAAGGTACCGCTGGGTGCTTGCAGAACTCAAGCCGTCGCCCCCCTCATGCCCGGCACGCTGCCTTGGCACCTGCAGGGACTCCGACCCTGAGCTGCTCAAGCGCCTGAAGATGGAGATGCGGGTGAGTGTGGGGTGGGCCAACCACTGCATGCAGGGCTTGCTGGGGCCAAGGTTTCAATCTGGAGGTGCTGAGGCGGCGTGGTTTGAACCTGCACTACTTAGAACCATCCCCATCTCTGCCCATCTAACCCATGACATTTCCCTGTTGTATCCCACCTTCAAATCTCCCAGAACCTGGTGATGAAGTTCCACTCTGTCTCCCCCTTCCCCAAACCCAACCAATCAGGTGGCCTTGAAGGACGAGGACTACGCGACGGCGACAAGATTACGGGACCACCCCTTCATGCGGCTGCACGCCAGGATCCTGACCGCAGAGAAGGTGCCGGGGGCTGGTGCATGTGGCTTTCCCATGCGCATGCAGTGGGGTGTGCAGCGACGGCAGGTGCGCGACTCCGTCCCCTCGCATGGACAGAACTTGCCTCCCGCCGTTCCCCCCGCCGCCACAGGAGGGTGCCGCTGATGAGGTGCAGCGGCTGCGGGACGAGCTCGACTTCACCGTGGCGACCTACGAGCAGACGGGGGTGCTGCCGGAGGTGCACCCCAGCGAGCAAAGGGAGAAACGCCGCTCCACAGATGCGGAGCAGTGAGGCAAGTCGGGGGCCTTCCCTCCAGACGCTGGCTGCAGCCATAGCACGCACCCTTGGCTCCCCTTGCCCGTGTACGCGTCCAGGGCGGCTATTCACACTCCCCCACAGCTGTCCACGGCAGCAAGCGCCCAGGCCCCTGGATCGCGTATGTTTGTACATCCCCCCTCCTCTCCCCCTGTACTGACTGACGTTCCCACTGCGCTTCTTCCATGCTCTCCCTTGCCGCCTCTGCATGTGCGCTGGGAGATGACACAGGAGCCCCCCACACGCTCATCTGCCCTGCTGGCGAGCTGGGGGCTCCGCTGTAAGATGCTTAGGAGGGGGGGGGGGAAGGGGAGGGAGGGAGCAGCAGGATGAGGGGCACTCGGTAGCAGTCCCCGGCCTGCACAGAGGTTTGGGGCAGTCAGAGAGGGCCAAGTGTGCTGTGACATGCTGCGTTCCCGGGGGCCCCCAGCCGAGGCCACACGGATGCTCGTAACACATGAGGGAGGGCCCACCCTTGCGATGCTTACACTGCGCCTAGGGTTCCCTCCCCAAGGACGCCACTACCATTCTCCCAGCCCCGCAAAGAATATCCCACCTTGCACACAGACACTCCGGAGAAGCGGGCATACGCCAGCTGGTGCTCCGCATTCCCCACCGCGGAAGCCGCCAGGAAGCTCATCCAGGACTGGAGCTGACACAGGGGGTGCGGCCCCTGCAGCTTCTCCTGGGCGTGTGCGCAGGTGGAAGGCGGGCTGAGTGCGGGGTGTGGTGCCATGCCGGCAAGATGTGGCTCTCTGCGCCTGGGCACACCGACAGACATGCCCTCCCGAGCCACTCCCTGGCGGGGCCTTCCTCCCCCTGGGGCGCGCCTGGGGATCGATGTAGTACCAGCGGGCCGCCTCCTCGTCCCGCCGCAGCCCCTCGAGCTCGACGAGCGGCGGCACCCACACGGGCAGCCTCAGTATGCCCTCGGCGCTCAACCCCGGCTGCGACGCGTCCTCGGCCCTGCTCAGCGCATCCGACGTGGGGCCGGGGGACGCCGATCCAGAGGTGGGAGGGCTGGCACTCCCAGCGCTCCTGGCGCTGCTCTTGTGGGGTGGGTCACCGTGCGACGATGGGCGGCGGCTGCCGGCCGTCGGCGCCCGGGGCGTCTCCTTGGACGCAGGGCCCCAGCCAGCTTCACGCCCAGTCAACCTCCCAGGCCCCTCCCTGGCAGCCAGCGAGTCCCCGGGAACATCTCTGCGGGATTGGCGGTCTCCTCTTGGCCGCGCCGGGGAGCGTGAATGCTCATCTGGCCGAGACGCAGGGCGATGATGCTCCTCTGACCGTGCCACAGGGCGCGGATACTCCTCCGACCGCAACGACGGGAGTGCATACTCCACCGGCCGCGCAGCAGGGAGTGGATACCCCTCTGACCGCGCCATTGGCCGACCCACCTCCGCCATCCGTGCCATGGGGCGCATTCTCTCCGCCGGCCGCGGCGTTGGCCGAGACCCCTCCCATGACCGGCCGTCCAGATCCCTCGCTGAGCTCATACGCGGGGGATCCCTTTCACGCGGCTCGTAGGAGGGCTGCTGATGTGCCCTGCCCTGGAGGGGGGTCCGTCCATGGCCAGGGCTCGGTGCACGGCGGACGGGGTCACGGGAGGAGGGGCGAGGTGGTTGCCTGCGGCCATCCTCTCGATCGCTCCTGCACGTCAGGGGAGGCGAGGCCTTGGGATGCTCTAGGCTCTCGTGTGACCCCACAAGCTCGGTGAGGTAGCAGGGATGACGCAGCACAGGGTTGAGGGCCTCGCTCTGATCGTTGAAGCTGGCGGTTCCCACTACGCACAGGCGAGAGGCCGGCTCCCGCAATTACACCTTCAGCACCGACTCCCACCAACCCACCTCACCTTGAGGCTGGGGGCCTGCTGTCCACATAGGACTGCTGCCGGGGGGGGGTCCCCCGGGACAGCAGGGGTCGGGGCGGGCTGCGCGTCCTTTCTCGCGGCACTCGTGGCCTGTGGCAGCGTGTGTACACCTTATTTAAAGGCAGAGTGTCTCAGCAAACCCAGACGGCTTAGCACCTGACATGCACATGCTCCCTCTGGAATCGCTTTTGCTGCAACGATCAAGTCTAGTGACCACACAAGCTCCCAAACTCCATGCCCCATCAGCGTGGTACCTGAGATACTCGGGGTCGGGATGCCTCTGTACCACGTGCCGCGGCTCGAGCTCAGGACGGCCCATGGACCTGCCACCTCCTGCTCTGGATCCTGTGGGGTACCCCGGGGGATAACTCCCACGATCGCGGTGGGCGGTGCTGAGATGCACGGGCTGATGCCGATCCCTGTCATCCCTCTCTGGCGCCTGGGGAGGGGGTCGAAGCGCGTAGCGGGAGGGAGGGCCTGCGCAAGGGCAAGGGTGTGGGTTGCCTATGCCGTGGCGCTTTGGCGGCAAGTGAGTGGCAGGGAATGAGCACTTTGTGCAGAATTAAACGTCAGATACGCTCCCTTGACATGCAAGGAGGGTGGGGAGTGGAGGATTGGCCCGGCTCTGGATCCCATCCCCCTGCCTGCCCAGCATCCCCCCAAGCCCTTTGGGAGGGATGTGCCGCAGCACTTCAGGCCCCGAATGGTACCCTCTTCCTACCTGGGGAAGGGCCCCTCCGCCGCTCATACCCTTCTACATGTCGCTCCGCGGGGGGGGAACCCCGGTGGCGCTGAGGGTAGTGCTGCCGCTGCGATGGGCTGCGGTTCCTCGCCTCCCTACGATACTGCTCGTTCATGATCTTGGACGGCGCACTAGGGTGTAGGGCAAGCTATTGCACGAGCCTGCTCATTATAATGCCTCAGGCATAGTTTTAGCGCTGAGCACGAGCCGGATGGTCGGTTTGTGAGCGCAGAAGGCACTGTGTTTTGGAGTTGGCCACCCACCATCAAATTTGGCAAAGACCTCGCGCCCAGCCTCAGCACACCGTCACCCCTCACAGTGACACCTCTGATGACGAGTGCGGCACCAGGCTCGGCCATTCCAGCTGTCCGGTACGAGTCCCATCCTGGATCACGATCGCAGCACCTCGCGGCTGGCCCAACCCCGGTATCGACACAGCACGCTCCCTGCCGTCCACATCGGTGACCCCACTCTCGGTACCCCCCGGACAACACTTCGTCCACCTTTTGCCGTGAGGCATCATGTTGGTTCTCAAGCCCTTACCTTTCCCCCCCATGCCTTGCTCCCAAGAGCGTGGAGCAATTACACGTGGCGCGAGAGGGGTCGCACATTCCCGGCGAGAGGGAGCGAGCCCGCAGGTGTAGCGTCAGGTCAAGCGGCGGCGCAGGGCACCTTGTGTGCCCAGCGCCTGTCCAGTCAGCAAAACACGGTCGACAAAGAGGCGGCTGCTCACCAGGGGCGGGGCCTCCCGGGGTCCGGGTGGCCCAAGGAGGAAGGGGGGATGGTCCAAATGGGCCCACCCGACGTAGGTGCATAAAAATGGAAGAAGTGGGGGTGGGGGTGGTTGTTGTTGGGTGGCTGGCCGTGTGAAAAGTACAAAAGACGCGGGTGAGCCAGCCGTACACATGGGTGTGCCTGGGCGGGTCTGGCGCTAACATTACAGCGCGCCCAGTCAGCCCCAGGGCCATGGCTGGCGGGACCTGGGGTGGGGTGCCGGGGCGGGTGCAGGCGCGCTCCCGTGCGGCAGCCGCGGACGGAAGGGGGAGGGGAGGCTCGTGCCAGGCGCCGCGGCGCCGCGCTCAGGCGCACCAGTCCCCGCAGGGGTCCTGCACGGCCTCCACCACCTCCCTCAGCCTGAAGCGGCTCTGGATGGCGGGCCTGACGTCGTCCACGTGCGCCACGCTTTCCAGGAAGGGCAGCAGGCGCAGCAGCTCCTCGTCCTCGTCGTCATCGTACCTGGGTCAAGCGGTTTTGGAAGGCGAGGAGTGTGAGGACATGAGTGCGCGTGTGCCGAGGGTGGGTTGCACAGCCTGGGCTGGCAGGGCTGGGGCATGGCAGCAGCCTGGCGTACGCGCTGGGAGATGGCGCCTCCACACACATACACGCTTGCCTTTCTCACGGGGGTGCACGCTCGCTCAGACCACCTACACTGATCATGAGCTCCCCCCTGCCATGCCGACTCCCCACCTTGGCACCTTGCACTCGATCCCCACATCACCTCGAAACACGAGAAGACCCCCCACCCCCCCTACCACACACCAGGACTCGATGGGCACGCCATTGTCCAGCTGGAAGCCAAAGGCCTGCGGCGAGTTGTCCACGATGAGCGTGTGCGCCAGGTCCCTGCCGAGCACGGTGAGGTCCTTGAGGTAGTTGCCCTCCCACTGCACGCAGGCGTCGCGGAAGACGCGGTGGCGGATGAGCGTCCGCCCCGGGTCCACCACGTCCAGCAGCTGCTCGGCGTAGACCGCCTGGCTGGCGGTGAACACCACGACCTCATAGAGCGCGGAGACGGCGCGCAGGAAGGTGTGCAGGTGGGGGCGCTGGCGCACGGCCACGCGGTGCGCGGCGCCGCCCACCTCCACGCTGAAGCAGAAGTCTGGGGGGGAGGAGGGGCCATCCAGCGTGCTGTGCACCAGCGTCTCGTCCAGGTCCAGCACCAGCGTCTTCTGGGGGCAGCGCCTCGAGCGCCGCGGCAGCAGGTAGGAGGTGCGTGGCGGCACGCACTCCTCCAGCGACGGCAGGCGCTTGATGAAGAGGTAGGGGTCGAACTCCCAGCCCACCTCCTCGTCCTCGGGCGGGCGCGGCGACTGCACCGGCGCGGCCACGGGCGTGGCGGGCACGGTGGCCAGGGCCAGTGCGGCGGGTGGCGCCCAGGCCTCCGCGTCCTCCCCCGCGCCGGCGCTGGAGTCGCTGTCGTGCTCCGCCTCCAGCCGCGCCGCGGCGGCCGCGCCGCCCAGGTCCAGGCTCTGCGCCTGCGACAGCGCCGGCGCCGAAAGCGGCGCGCCAGCGGTGCCCCGCGGCGAGACGGGGCACCGCGCCGCGTCGCCGTCCTCCGCGTCGCCGCCCGCGGCGGAGAGCCAGCCGAAGGCGTGCAGCAGCTTGATGGTCTTCACGGGCGTGGGCACGGCGGCGCAGCCGTCGGCGTCGGCCTCGCGAGGCTGGGCGGGCGTGCCAGCGCAGGCCGCGGCCGCAGCCTTGCGCTTGCACCGCGCTGCGGAGGTGATGAAGGCGGCCTGGGGAGAGCCGGCACCGTTGGCGGGTAGATGAGCCCGCGCGGCGCCGTCCTCGTCCGCCAGAGTCGCGCTGTGCATGATGCAGGCCTGGGCCATCGGGGGCGGGGGGAGGGGGGCCGGGCGCCCGCTGACCACCCGCGCGTCGACTTCCTGAGGTAAGGAAAAATGCAAGGATCAAAGAAGTGGGCTGGAGCGTCTGGGGCGTGTTGAGGCGACGGGCAGGGGCG